ATTAGTGTGAGGAAGCTCAGTAAGTCTGTTATAGTAAAAATTACAAATAAAAGTTATCGACAAAAATTGTCGGCAGCTTTAAACTCCACATTTTAAAATTAGTTAAGATAAGATGGTGGCAGACCAAACTTATGTTTTTTTTTTAAATAAAACACCCTGTATTTTATTTTAAATTTGAAATCTGCTTCACTTCCACATCACAACAATGTAAAGTTTTATTATGTTATGCCGGGTATTTAAAAAGTTAACCAATATTATCTGAAAATCGTATTAAGTTTAACTCCCTGTATAATTAAAAAAAGATATATGAACATCGATCTATTGTAACCATAGTTTTTTAAACATATTCGTTTTCATACTATTCGTTAAATCGTTAAATACAAGGTAAGTCAAAATGCAAGTACATTATTTTCTTGGTAATTTTAAATAGAACACCCTGTATTTTATATCATTATCGAAAAGTACTAATATCGTACTTACTATATACTCCTATATCTAAATACTAATACTCCCTATACCTAAAGTTGTCAGTTTTCTAAATATTTTTTATTTTTCCATCAAAGTATTAATTTGGTAGATATTTTAACGTTTACCATTAATTATTGTGAGTTGGCCATGATTGATTTGCCAGAAACTGACAGTTTGGCATTATTGTTAATTAATTTAGTATTGGGGTACACCGTAAATTAGCAACAATTATTATTTAGTAATTCAGTGATTAATTCAATTTACATTAGCAATAATGAATTTTACTACTGATGAAATGGTAGATATGATCTGGATATTGGGGGAATGCAATAAAAATTCATTACTATCAGCTAGAATTTATCAAGAACGGTTTCCAGATAGGCGGCACCATAGACAAGATACATTTGAAAAATAAAAAAAGATCGATTTATCCACTGGTTCAGAGAATAATGAAAAACATGAACGAACAAAAACTGGTGTGACATAGGAAAACGAAATGAGTGTGTTGATGGCAGTTACAGAAAACCCACACACAAGTATAAGGAGTATTTTCAATGAACAAAAACTTAGTTACTACTCTCTTCAAAACATTCTAGCTAAATAAAAGATGCACCCTTATCATATTCAAAAGCACCAAGAATTAAATAATGATGATTTTCAGACACGAATAGTATTATAAAAAATGGACAGGAACGTAGATTCCTTGTGAATAGTATTTTGTGAATAGAACTTAGAAAAAATTAAAGAACAGAGAGATTTTTTTGATTATGTCCTATTTGGTGATGAAGCTACATTCCATCGAAACGGTTATGTTAATAAGCATTACTTTCAGTACTATTCAACAAGTAATCCATACCGCATAGTAAAACATAGGCAAACAAGATGGTCTCTAAATGTGTGGGAAGGTATCGTCGGTAACCATGTAGTAGGACCATATTTTTTTGAAGATAACTTAAATGGTGAAATTTATTTAGATTTTATTAAAAATCAGTTACGGTATCAGTCGATATTATTAGAAGAGGTTCCACTTAATATACGTGAACAAATATGGTTTCTACATGACGGTGCTCCTGCGCACCACAACGAATTAGTACGTGGTGAACTTAATAATCAGTTTGGTAAAAGATGGATCGGAAGGGATGGACCGGTATGGAGGCTCCAAGGTCACCACAATTCCATAAAATGGACTCATTTTTTTTGGGGTTATGTTAAGAACGAAGTATATAAAATACCTCCAACAACAAGAGATGATATGAAAAATAGAATCAGAATTGCATTTCAAAATATCTCTTTACAAATACTTAGTAATGTAAGCAACTCTTTCAATGACCGCTTTCAAATATGCATAGATGTTTTGGGAGGTCATTTTGAACACCTTACTAAGATAAGTTAGAATTACTGTTGTTTTTTTATTTTTCTATGTGTTTTTTTTTTAATTTTCCGTCGGTTATTTTTTATAAATTTTATTTGAAATAAATTGTTTTCTTTTCTGTGTCGTTATTTCGTTACTGAATTAATAAACAACAATGTCAAACTATCAGTTTCTGAAAAATCAGTATTGGTTAACGTTAAAATATCTACCAAATTACTTAATACTTTGATGGAAAAATAAAAGTATCTAGAAAACTGATAACTTTAGGTATAGGAAGTACTTAATAAAATTTGAAGCACGATATTAGTACTTTTCGATAGTGATTTAAAATACAGGGTGTTCTATTTAAAATTATCAAGAAAATAATGTACTTGCATTTTGACTTACCCTGTATTTGATTTAACGAATATTATGAAAACGAATATGTTTTGTAATTTTTAACAATTATTAAAAAACTATGGTTGCAATAGATTAATGTTCCTATACTCCTTTTTAATTATACCGGGAGTTAAACTTGATACGATTTTCAGGTAATATTGGTTATAACTTTTTAAATACCCGGTATAACATAAAACTACATTTTTGTAATGTGGAAGTGAAGCAGATTTCATATTTAAAATAAAATACAGAGTATTTAACATACCCTGTATTTAAATTTAAAAAAACATAAGTTTGGTCTGCCACCATCTTATGGGACACCCTGTAAGATTGTAAATAATTTTAAAATGTGAATTTTAAAGCCTACAATTTTTGTCAGTAACTTTTTTTGTAATTTTTAATATAAGAGATCTAGTGATCTACGAACTCTAAAAAATCGAAAGTCATGCTGACCACAAGGTATACCAAATGAATTATTAAAACATAGCCCACAAGTATTACGGAAATTACTGGCGTATGTCTTCACCTTATCCTATAATGGACACGACTTACCAACCGGAGTGGACAAAAGCACATATTAACAACATCTACAAAAAAGGAGGTAGAAAGAATTGTTCAAACTACGGGGGGCTAAGTGTCATAAATTCACTCTCAAGACTGTATGGAAAAATAATAAAAAATAAAATTGAAAAAGAGATGACAGATGTAGAAGAACAGAATGGCTTTCGTGCAGGCAGGTACTGCATGGACAGTATATTCTCTCTAAAGCAAGTTATCGAGAAAAGATTAGCCCATAACCGTTCAACTTATATAGTCTTTATAGATCTGACAAAGGCATACGATAGTGTACCACTTTCAATGCTTTGGGTAGCAATGGAAAAACAAGGAATAAGCAAAAAAAATATACAAGCAGTACAACAGCTCTACAAAAATATGACGGCAAACATTAAAACTGGAAATAGATTAACTAGAGAAATTCCTATTAGTAAGGGCCTAAAGCAAGGTTACTGCATAGCACCTACACTCTTCAAAATATGTCTAAATGAGGCACTTCGCTGACGACCAAGCCATTCTAGCTGAAGACGAGAGTGATATAAGCTACATCCTTAGAAAACTGGAAGATGAGTACACCAAATGGGGCCTCACAATTAATATACAAAAAACTGAGTACTTAGTTGTAGGAGAAAAACCAGAAAGCCTACAAATCGAAATGCGAACTATAAAATCAACAGACAATTTTAAGTACTTGGGAGTCCAAATAACATCAAAAGCAGGAAGTAGCGAAGAAATACATTCCAGGATTGGCCAAGCAAGATCAGCCACCAGACAGCTACACAGACTATTATATGGAACAAAAAAATAACAAAAGAGAATAAAAGAAGAATTTATAAAACAATAATAGAAAGTATTGGACTGTACGGCGCCGAACTCTGGGAAATAAACCAAAGAAACAAATCAAAAATTAAGGCCATGGAAATGAATTACTGGAGACGATGTTGCCAGCTCACTAGACTTGATAGGGTGAGAAATGAAGATATTCGGAAAAAAATGGAAATCGATCTAGACATAATAGACACAATCGAAGCCAAAAGACTTAACTGGTATGGACACCTTCAGAAAATGCCAGAAAATAGATGACCAAAAAAAAATAGAAGAATGGACTCCGTCAACTAGAAGAAAACGAGGTAGACCAAGACGATCCTGGAGAGACGACGTCGACGATGCAATGACCGCCAGAGATCTAACAACTGAAGATTGCTTCGACAGAAAACGCTGGAAATTAGGATGCGAGAAGCGGCACCAGCTGTAGTAGACTCGCTTGTTATATATTGTATAGATCTACTGAGCTTCCTCACACTAATCAATCACCCTGTATTTTATATATCACAAGCAGTTTATGTTTCAGTATGAAGAATATGTTTGCCATATCTGATTTCTCGGACCTAATATGAACTTTTTTAGATACATTATTCAGCAATATATATACTTCATCTAATTTACATACCGATGCACGTCATTATCTACGTCAGAGATCGAAGTTGACATAGTTGCCAAAGTATAAAAAAAAGCCTGACTCCATTTTAAATCAAATAGATCACATAATTATTGCAAAAGTATTACCATCTCTTGACAACGACTATTTAAATTTTTACGTGACATTTTTGAAATAAAACACACTCATTTTGTTCTAAAAGAATAAATTTTATTAAATGGGTAAAAATATAAAACAAGAGGTATTCACTTTAAAATTCAAAATAATAAAGTACAAAAAGTGTCAACACCGCAACTGTCAAATAAGTGTTACCAATTTATGCCAAAATTTCAGCTTCGTTCGATTACAGTTACAGTGTGTTCCGAACAAATATTCTGCATAAAAACGCTTTATAATGCATTTATACAAATTAAATGAAACATATTATTGTGTATTTCTTTAAGTTAACATTAATAGAAATTTTTAAATATACGCGTATATAATAAAATATGTCTAGTGGCTGTAATGCCAGTATACTCGGCAAAGTGATTCTAAAAAAAGAACACACCTACCGCCTAAATATTTCGTGTTGGTATCATGTGACATCACGGGCTGAGACGACGATGACGTGCATCGGTATGTAAATTAGATGGAGTGTAGTTAATTTGAAAATAGGTTGGATTAAATTAAAATAACAAAAAATAGGCCAGATTCTGAATATACATAGTACTACACATTTTTTTATTGACAAATTTATTTATGTAAAGGCATTTTAGTTGATTAATATGAACAATTTTTTGTGATTTTCAGACATATTTCAAAAATATAAAAATAAATGGAATCTGAAGCATCTATAATTTTGACTGGAGAAACCACTACAACTATTGAAAAGTCCGATAAATCTTCAACGTCAAATCCTTTAATGGTAGTTAGACGTAAAGGAGATAAAATTTATTATGTCAAAGATGAGAATATTTGGATGAATGATAATGAAATCCGTCAAAGTAAACCGAATGTCCAAAAAGCCAGCATTCAATCAGCGACAAAAGAAACGGAAAATATAATAAATTCGGAATCTTCCGTTAAGGTACTTCCGTTATCGTCTCAATAGTTTTTTATTCAAACGACACTGAACCGCAAAAAAGTGGCCACCCTATAAATTTCCGAAAATAAAAATTGTTTCATACTGCGTCCCAATTTAAATGTTTATTGCGATCATGTAGGCTTGCTTTGACAAGGGGCAACCAAACATGCGAAGAACGAAGAAGAATAAACCTAGCATGGGCAGCTATGGAAAACTCAAAGACATCTGTAAAAGCGGTATACCAAGTTTTTTAAAACGTAAAACATTTGACCAATGTGTGTTGCCTGTGATGACCTATGGTGCCGAAACTTTGACATTGACAGCTACAAGTTCTAAAACGCTGCAAATAGCTCAGAGGAAAATGGAAAGGTCAATGCTGAGTATATGGCTTCGTGACCGAGTTAGAAATGAAGACTTAGACGAAGAACAGGAGTTACCGATGTAATTTCCCGAATTGTCACACTGAAATGGAACTGGACCGGACACGTCGCCCGAATCAGTGATAAAAGGTGGTCGAAGAGATTGCTTGAGTGGAGGCCAAGGTTAGACAAAAGAAGTAGAGGAAGACCTCCTATTCGTTGGACTGACAATCTCAAGAAAATGTCAAGAAATTGGATGAAAAGTGCTCAATATAGAGCACAATGGACAAAAATGAGGGAGGCCTATGTCCAGCAGTGGACGCAAAGGCTGGGTGGTGGTGATGATGATGATGACGCTTGCTTTAACAATTTTGATGTTTATGTTGTTTTTGTTTTTTGTTTATCTTCTAAGTTTTAATTTTTAATTTTATTAATTAATATTTAATTAAACAGTAATTTATCTTTTCAAACGTGACTCTCGACTAAGTGAATAATTAAGATATGGTGTTATCTACAGTAGATGTTGCTCGAGTTATTGCATTGCTACAAGAGTAAAAAAGTCAAATTTATGTATTTAAAACTTTATGTTTCATCGCTAGAGACTGGTACATACTCACGTCCAGCTGGTTGCGGCCGTAGAAGAGTCACCTCGCAAAAATATCATCGTTTTAATGTGATGGAACTTTTAAGAAATCACCGTCCTGTGCAATTACTGCAAGAAACCGTCTGCAGGAGGTTCTAAATGTGAATGTAAGTGAGAGAACAATTAGAAGACGCCTTCTAATAAAAGGCTTCACATAAAAGGAGACTAATGAAAGCAATTGGTCTCCTTTTATTCAAAGCCTTTTATTAGACTTTATACTAGGCCATACTGAACAATGGGAAATGTGTAAAAATTATATTAAAGACGCAGCAAATAACATTCTAGGGCCGCAAAAACCACCACCACGCAATGAGTGGTTCGATGCTGAGTGCGAGGACGTTACAAGAAGAAAGATCAATGCATATAAACTGATGCAGCAAAGAAGAACCCGAGAAAAAGAACAAAAATATAAAGATCTCAAAAGAGACGAGAAGTACATCCATCGGAGAAAACGAACTTATGAAAATAGAATATTGGAAGAACTTGAGGCATTAAAAAAGGAAAATCAAACAAGAAAATTCTATAAAAATCTGAATAATGCAAGAAAAGAATTTAAACCAAGGATCGGACTATGTAAGGATAAGGAGGGGCATATACTCAATACAAAAGAATAAGTATTGAAACGGTGGGATAAAGAACTACTTACTATCGAAGTAGAAGATCCAAATCAACCACCCTCAGGAGCAAGCAACAATACACCATTGAAGCCTCCATCAATTCAAGAAGTGCGGGATGCAATAAAACACCTAAAAATAATAAATCTCCAGGAAGTGATAGTATATCCGCTGAATTAAAAGTGGAGGTGCTACTCTCACTAACCATGTATATAAAATCATACTGAGAGCCTGGAATGAGGAACAAATCCCGGAAGAGTGGTGTATTGGGAACGTTTGCCCGCTACACAAAAAGGGTGATCAATTGGAATGTAGAAACTATAGGGGAATAACCCTCCTTAATACAGCATACAAAATATTTTAGATTATTTTATATAGGGTGAGTCATGAGGAACTTTACATACTTCTACCATATGTAGAGTCCCTCAGGGAGCATATCAGGTGGCCACTAAAAAATGTCAACTACTCTTCTTTATTAATTAACAGGGTGATTTGTGTAATTGACCATTTATTTCATTTTACTGTAGTGTTTATACGGCTCATTTGATTTTTTTAATTTTGCATGATACAGTACGCTACTATCAAGCATTCGACTGGTATTAGCTAAACTAAAAAATTCCAGGACTGGCTTTGGAAAAATTAATTTGGGGATTCGTATTAAATATTACACCCTGTATATATATTTTTTTAATGCAATAAGTGATTTTCAAACTACATTAATAGCCAATGAAAACGACATATGCGACAATGTTGTCGCACTTTTATTAAATTTTTAGTGAACTATCAAATTTTACCAAAAATAGAATAGCCATAATGAAGTATCAAATTATAAGGTAATTAATTTAAACAAATGTTATAAATTTCAAACATTTTAATTGAAATGATAAACTGAGTTACTGCACAACAAAAAACAGTAACTACTAACAATAACGAAGAACAATTTAAAAATAAAAACTAAAAATATATACATAGTTATGATAAACCCATAAATTAGAACTGGAAAAGATACAATAATGGTAATAAAATAAAAATAATTCAAAATAGATTTTCGAAATGAAACCCTGCAGCCTGTACACATTTTTGTTGCCGAATTGTTAATTGACGTATTGAATTACGGATACTCTGGTGATCGTTTCTAATAGTATTACAACAATGTACATCAATTAATTGTTGTCTGCTATTAATATTCACTGCGTAAACTAGTTGCTTCAATCGTCCCCAAATATGGTAATCAACAGGATTGAAATCAAGGGATCTTGAAGGCCACGAAATAGGACCTGCACGTCCTATCCACCTGTTGCCATAAACATTATTGAGATGTTGTCTCACTGTCAGTAAAAAGTGTGGGGGTGCCCCATCATGCTGAAAATACATCCCTCGGATAGCAACGTTCGCGTTGGCAAGCAAATTTGGCAAAATATTTTGTAGAAAGTTCAAATAGACCTGACCTGTTAAAGGACCATCAAAAAAGTGAGGACCTACTAATTGGTTATTTATGAAACCAATCCACACGTTAACCAAAAACCTTAACTGAGAACGACGTTCTCGAATAGCATGGGGATTTTTTTCTGCCCACACATGTGAATTTCGTGAATTATTTATCCCATCTCTGGTAAATTGGGCTTCATCTGTAAAAAGTGTCCTGTATAGCGTTGGTCGATTATTGTTAATCCATCTACAAAATTCCAACCTATCGATCTCATCTCCAGCATGTAGTCGCTGAACCATTTGAATGTAATATGGGTATAGATTGTTTTTTTGTAAGACTCTACTTACTTTTGATTGAGTAACATTGAGTTCTCGACTTACTTGTCTAGTGCTTATTGTAGGGTTCATAGTAACGGCGTCCATAATATCATATTCCTGCGCTTCATCTACATGTCGCTCTGTTGTTCCACTAGGAAAAGTGCCATTTTCTCGCAAATAATTAAAAACTGACCCAAATGTTGAATGACTGGGAGTTCGACGATTAGGAAATCTGCGATGTTCTCTACTAGCAGCCATACCATTCCCATTACAGAATTCATAAACAAATATTATGTCTGCATATTCTGTGGTCGAAAACTGATGTGGAATTTTGAACGAAAGTAACAAAAGCTCTACCAAAACTAACACAATGTACTTAACGTAGATATGACAGAAGAAATATGTATTCTTGTACACATAAATAACAATTGATAATGACAATAATGACAATGGGTATAAAATATCAAGAAACGTCAAACGGTCAACGCCAACCTTCATTTTAAACTTTTTTAGATTTATTTTTATTTAGTACAGTTGATGCAATGTATTATTATTTGACATAAAATTTTAATCATTTACAATCAACAAAAACTAAAACATACAAGAGGTTTGACTTTTTAATCAATTTAATTATTATTTATCGAAAATAATGCCCCAATACGATCTATGAGTAAAAATTTAAAATTGAAAAACAATTGATGCTATCGTAGAGATAATACAAAGTGACAGTAAAGATGTTAATTTTCTACGTATTAGATTATGTTGTAGGAACTCATTTTAATTAAAATTTATGAAATTTATAACATTTGTTTAAATTACAGAAGAATTTCTTTGTGCTAAGGCAAATACTGGAAAAAACCAATGAATTCAATATCGACTCATAGCATCTTTTCGTAGATTTTAAATCGGACTATGATAGTGGCCTAAGAAATAAATTGTATGAAACCATGGATGAATTTCACATCCCCGATAAACTGATAAGATTGGTTAAGGCTACAATGCATAAAGTTGTTTGCAAAGTCGAAATAAAGGGTGAACAATTACAGGCATTTGAAACGCATGTTGGGCTGCGACAGGGAAGTGCGTTGGCGTGTCTCCTTTTCAACATACCTCTGGAAAAGGCGGTCAGGGATGCCCAAATAGACAACAGAGGAAACATTTTTAATAAATCATCCCAAATTTTGGTATATGTAGATGATGTTGCCTAGTTGCCCGCACAACACGAAAACTAGAAGAAATGTATAACACCTTGTCAAATGCCTAAAAAAATATGGACCTGCAAGTAAATGAGCAGAAATCTAAGATAATGGCATCAACACCCAATAATAAAGCCAGAAACATCGGCCACCAATTCATGGTTGATAACTCTACCTTTGAAGTGGTGGACAAATTCACATACTTAGGCTCCCTAATCACCAAGGAGAACGTCATGACGGAAGAAATCAAGCGAAGAATAATCCTAGCAAACAAATGCTATTTTGGATTGAGTAGACATATGAGATGCAGAAACTTAAGCCAAAAAACAAAAATAACCATATACACAACCCTTATACAACCAGTGTTGACATATGGATCGGAGACATGGACCATCTCCAAAGCAGATGAAAACCTCCTGCTTATATTTAAACGAAGGATTGTGAG